AGGTGTCATATTACTCTGGCTTCATTCAGGATTTTTAAAATTTTTTGTCTTGCAGTAATTTTTCTATGACATTTCTAAATATGTTTTTTACATATTTTAAAACATGTAGGTATGCTTTGTTTGGACATATTGAGACTCTTGAAATTCTACATTAATGTTTTTTCACCAAATTTAGGAATTTTTTACTCAATATTTATTAAATACTATTTCTGCTGTTCTTTTTCAGGGCCTTAAATAATAAGTATTCTGGACATTTTGGTATTTTCTCTGAGTTCATGAGCCCATATTAGTATTTTTCAGTCTTCTTTCTTTCTATTCTTTATATTGAAAAAAAGGTGTATTGATATATTTTTTAATTTCACTAATTGTTTGCTCTGTAACCTCCATTTTCTCATTAAGCCAATCAATGAATTTTTATGTCAGATATTATCTTTGTTGGAGTCTTTCCATTTGGTTATTTTTAATTGTTTCTAACTCTCTGCTATTACATGTATTTTTACTCATTAGAATAATAATTTTTCACATTATTGAGTATAGTTATTCCCGGGGCTATCAAGATTTTCTTTAGTGATAGCAGCACCTGGGTCAACTTAGGGATCATCTCTGTTTACTGTCTTTTACTTTTGAGAACAGAGTACTTTTTCCTGGTTATTCAATGTTGAGCAATTTTGGTTTGCATTTGAATATTCTAAAAATAATTCTGCAAACATGAAGGAGTCTGTCATACTGCTTTAAAAAACTTAGTATGTGTGTTTAATAGGAAATTAAATAAAATAGATTCAAAATTCAATCTCTGTGTCTTTGAGAACAGCTGAAATCTGATTTCAGTGTCTTCACCCACAGTTTGGTCACTGGCAGGCTACCCCATGCATGCAGTGCTTCGAGAGTCAGTGAGATTTTGGATGGTTTGCACGGAGAATGCAGACATTCCCTTCTTTGGTCACCACACTTGGACATTCCCTCTGCAAGTTTCTGGGCTATGATTTTACTGAACTCTAGTTCTTCATACCATAAAAATGAGTTTTCTTTTCATCAAACTTTCAAATTCCCTACACAAATTTATGTATGGACTTGCCTGTGGCTAAAAGCCATAAAACAGAACACTTACTCATGTTGTTAATTTTGGCTTCCATGTAGCAGTTGATCTTCAAAATCTATGTGTTTTGTTCATGCTACAAAACATTTGGGTGGTTTTATTTTGTATCTATCTTGATATATGTAGTGTATATATATATATATATATATATATATATATATAGTACACCAATTTACTCTATTTTTCCTATACCCATTTCTCTTTGGTAGACACTGAAAAGTGTTAAATGAGGGTGTAATGAGAATTCCCATCTCTGCATTTTCAAAATTCTATCAAATTTATTGGGATGACATTGGTTTGCAAAACCATGCAGGTCTCAAGTGTACAACTCAACAAAGCATCAGTAAAATACTGCATCATGTGCCCATCACACCCTCCTGTCCCCATTCCTCCTTTTTGCCCACCTTCCCCTACTCCTCACTCTCCTTTCTCTTTGGCCATCACACTGTTTTCTTTGTCTATGTGTGTATACATCCCTTCACCTTTCCTTCAGTCCCTCAACACCCCTCCCCTCTGACAGCTGTCAGTCTATTCCATGTGTCCATGCCTCTGCTTCTATTTTGTATGTCAGTTTATTTTGTTCATTAGATTCCACATGTAAGTGAGTTCCTATGGTATTTGTCTTTTTCTGACTGGCTTATTTCACTTAGCATAATGCTCTCCAGGTCCATCCATGCTATTGCAAAAGGTAAGATTTCCTTCTTTTTTTGTAGTCAAGTAATATTCCATTGTGTAAATGTACCACAGCTCTTTCCTTTTGTGACTGCATGTTCAAACTTTTGAGGGTGACAATAATTTCTTCAATACCACAAGGGATGTAGTTTTGCATTTTTCTTATAACTTTTATAAAGCACTCCAAGACCTTTCAATACTCATTCCTAGTACCATAATTCTCACTCCAAATACCAGGGAGCAAAGGAGAGACGGTCCCATGTGTTGAGTGTAATTATTCTAACTGTTACTATACAGGAAGAAACTAGGAAAATATATAAAAACAAGATGGGTCTATGGACACACTAGTACCATGGAACTACAGGCTTGGGTCAAAATCCACTTTTTACCTAAACACAATGGGCACTCATTTTGAGCAGTAAGTGGATCACAGCAGCATGCTGGATTCAAAGCATCTGCATTAGTATTAGATTGGAAATGGTGTACAGTAATCCACAGGCCTCCTGCAGGAATATTTAGGGTGCACATTTATGATTTTATCATATGGATATTCTTAAATTTCAAGTACTACCCTTTATTTCAGGAACTCTGAGTCTGCAATGAGTCCTAGATCTTGGAATGGAACAAATTCAGTGACTTTATTACAATGGCTCAAGTGAGGCCTATTCTCAACAGAACTAGATTTTCTTCTTGTGTTAAAATATACATAACATAATTTTTACCATTTTATCTACTTTTAAATGCACCATTTAATGGCATTATGTATATTTACATTGCTGTGCCACCATTAGTGCCATCCATCTCCAGAACTTTTGTCATCTTTCCAAATGAAACTTCATATCTTTTAAAAATAACTCTCAGCACTGGCATAGCTCAGTGGATTGAGCGGGGGCTGTGAACCAAAGTGCCGCAGGTTTGATTCCCAGCCAGGGTACATGCCTGGGTTACAGGCCATGACCCCCAGCAACTGCACATTGATGTTTCTCTCCCTATCTCCCTCCTTTCCCTCTCTAAAAATAGATAAATAAAATCTTTTAAAAAATAACTCTCAATTTCTCCCTCAAACCACCCTTATCAACCCTTATCAAACACCATTCTACCTTCTGTCTCTATGAATTGGACTATGAGGTGTGCCTCATATATGCAAAGGCTTAGGTCTTCTCAGGCATTTTCAGGACACAACTTTTCCGTGGGCCTGTGTGTTCATGTTTTTCCCTTGACTCCCTTATTTGTACAGCTGCTTTTTAAACATCTTATTTTTCCTCAGAGTCTTACCCCTGCTTTTTCTCAGGTCTGTAGTAATCTCCTACCCCAGACATCTACCAGTCTGCATTTCCCTTGCAATGCCAGTTGCTTCCCATAGCTTCTCTTAGCATGAAAGTTGAGTGTGAACTCTGAGGGAGGTGACAAAGTCCTATCACACAGGCAGCAACTAAACAGACTGTGGTGTCACAAATTCTGTTTGCTGTCCTCTCTCTAGTTCCTGGAAGGGAGCTGGGGACTGAACTGCTGTTGTCCCCACACCACACTTCCCGTGCCAGGAAAGGAGTGGAATAAGGGTTAGGAAAAGCACTGCAAAATTTCCTACAATTTTGAAGGAAGCTTTCTCTTCATCTGACATTGCCTTGTTGCTGTAGATCTTTGACCAGTTTTCAGAATGATCAGGAAATTACTGTAACCAGTCTCCAGTTGTTTATTTAATATTTCCATGGGGAAGGAGAGTTTGGAGCTTTCCATCTGCTATCTTGCCAGTGTCAATCTTTGCAGACTTAAATTTAAATTATTATTGTAACTGTTAATTCAGATTAAATAGAATTTAATTAGCCCTCTTCCCCATATTGTTCCTAGAAGCTCTGTAATCAATTAGTTCATTGAAAATTAATTTAATTTTATCAGTCTCAATTACTTCTCCAGACTTCTGCTTCTTAGAGTAAACTGTGGAATTCTTCCCATGAACAGGTAGTGTTGCTACTATCTGCCCTCCCGTCATTTCATTCGGTGTCTTTCCCTTCATCTCTGTAGTACAGAAAACAGCAATTACAGTAATTTTAATGAATTCTTGTTCTCCTTTCATCAGAGGATTTCTTGATACCTTGATGAAGGGAGTGTCTTTGTGCACCACTGAGATAACCTTTAGAGGATCTTTAAGAAGATAATATGGTAAATCCACTTCACATTGTCTGCTTACACAGCTTTGGATTGCTCTCTCTTCATTTCATCATGAGATTTGTGGCATCCTATCTTAGTCTTGTGTTATCCCTAGTAGGACTTCAGTGTGTCAGCTGCTTCAGATAGCACCAGAATATCTGGACACAGACCTATACATTTTACCTGAATTAAAATAAAATCATGTTCATTATTCTCTGGTGAAGTGCCATTGGATTTATCTTGGTTTTTGCCCAGTTAAAATTATAAATGGGTTTTCTTCATTTTGATTTTGTAATTGGTCCTTAATAAAACCTCTTAGACTTTATGTGAGAGAAAAAAGAAACATGCTTATTAATTACAGTTATATTGGTTATCTGTCATTCTCAGATGAACCCAATACAATTTATAATAAAATTCCTATACAAAACACACTTGGCACTATTTGTACCAATTTCTCAAGTTATTACATTAAATTTTTTATTTCTTATTTATTTTTTAAGATTGTATTTATTTATTTTTACAGAGAGGGGAAGGGAGAGAAACATCAATGTGTGGTTGCCTCTCACTCAGCCCTTGCTTGGGACCTGGCCAGCAACCCAGGCATGTGCCTTGACTGGGAATCAAACCTGTGACCCTTTGCTTCGCAGTCCAGCACTTGATCCACTGAACCACACCAGCCAGGGCAAATTTTGAAAGCCAGTTTTGAACATTTAAATTTCGTTAAAAATAAACTAAATGTCCTTAAATTATAAACCTCATATATTTAAATGACTGATTATTTAAAATTCTTCAAATATTAAAGTATATGCAAAACTGCAATAACAAATATTATAAATTTATCACCTTTTACCTAAAAATATTCTGAAACTCAACACTTTGAAATTAATTAATTTTGCCTATGACTTTTGATCTTGTTGTTAAAATATTGCTTAATTTATGCCCGCTATTACTTTATATCTTCTAAGATGGTCCTAGTATTTCAAAAATTTTGTAGGGTTTTAGGAAAACAAAAGATAACTATTAGGCTAACTTGGGTTATTAAATATAAAGTATCTTCCATTGGGCTTTGTTTCCCCTAATCAGAGGTCTCAGTTGGAAAGTGACATCAGAACCTCAGATACCACACTCCCAGCAATCAGGTCCTCTTGAGATTGGCTATAGAATGTTACCCATGCATTCTCCCTGGGCTCACCCAGAATCACAGACCTGGGGCATGACCTAGTGTCAACTGTCCTTTGCCCATCAGAACACTACTGGAGCCTGATGGGAGTGAGGCAGTTAGACCATTGGGCTTTGAATGATGCATCGATTTTAAGAGCTAAAATCATACTTTCTCTGTATTAGAAAAGGTTTTATATACTACAAAACTACTATGTCTTCTACAATATATTGTCCTGTTATTCCTAATATTTATCTTGTCCAGACATTGAATTATGAACATAAGGATAGGATTAACCATTTAGTGCCTGTTCCATGGATTGGCCTCTTCCTATATAACATCATATGTAGGTTAACCTCTCATTTCATATCCACTTGGGTAGAAAAAATTACATTATTGTCTAACAATGTATTCCTTTATTTATAAAAATTTTAACTCATTGCAACTTACAAAAGTTCTAGGTAGAAATTTGCATGACATGAAGAAAAATTTAAGTATTTCTAATAACATGACAGGTATTTTTTAAGATTTTTAATATTTATTTTTTAGAGAGGGGGAGGGAGGGAGATGGAGAGCGAGAGAATCATCAGTGTGTTGCTGCTTCTCACATGTCTTCTCACATGTCCCCCAACTGGGGACCTGGCCCACAACCTAGGCCTGTGTTCTGACTGGGAATTGAACTGGTGATTCTTTGGTTCACAGGCCAGCGCTCAATCCGCTAAGCTGCACCAGCCAGGGCACATGACAGGTATTTTAAACTGGTTAAATTGATGCCACTTTTACCAAATAAGAAAACAAAAACAAAATACTCTAAATTATTTTAGTAACATTTTAAATTTCATAATCAGTAATATGACTTAAAATCACTAGTTCAGAAATACATCTCTCTCTAGTTCCAGATTTTAAAATACTGTAAGAGTATTTTACTCTTAGTCTGTATCCTCCTCCTTAGAATCATGGCCCTAAAATGTGTAAATGTTGCTATCATATATCTGGAAATCTCTTTTTTTTTTCTTCAGGATAATATCCACTGTTTTTTTAAGCGTTCTGAAATGTTTTAAGTATTATTGATATCCTAAGATTTAAAGATACACTGCAAATACACTCTTTCCCTTTTTGTGAAAAAGGAAATTCAGATACACTTTGTATTCACATTTACTCTGCACTAATGCAAATATTTAATGACTTAAGGCAAATGCAAATATTTAATGCCTGGGTACTAGGCAAGATTTGTACCATTCTATACGTAAAAACAATTAATGCTATGTGAATGAAAGTTACATCTTTCAGACAAAATGTGGAACAAGAAAAGCAAGCTGAGAACGTGTCCTAAAGAACTGAGAAAGAGCGTTGAAGGACAGGATGGACTGGGGGCATATTGTGTAAGCAAAGCTGGAGGTCACATGTCCAACAGGGGGGTGTGTTCAGGCAACTGAAGGCAGAGCTGTGCATACTTCACTGCACTTGTGAGGTCAGTATTTTTGTCAACATGGCAATAAGTTAAAGGGAGGGAGGGAGGGGAGGAGAAGAAGAAAGAAAGAAAGGAAATTTGTATCCATTTATTCTTAGTCCTGGTACACTTATTCCCACTCCAGCCCCAGACAAATCAATTTAACATTTTGCTGTCAGTTTTTAGCTCTACGACCAAATCGTGTGTCCCTACTTTCATTGGTAGATATTCTAACAAATGGAAATCTTCCTATTTTTCTTTTTAATACAAAAAATGATACTCAGATTTCTTTGTTAATGATTCATGTACTATGAGTATTTCTATGATTAGAAAACAAAGAAATAGAAACATTATTGTTCTTGAGCAAGAAATGTTTTATTATTTATGAAGTATGTATTGAATATATTTAAGTACATATAACTTTGAGACCCAAATATACATATACTTTTGTAATTGCTATTTTAGCAAAAAATTATTCACTCGATATTAATGAAGAAAACAAAAATAGGATCTTTGATTTCTCCATAGTTAATAACTATTCTAATTTTGTTTGGGGGCTCTGTCATGATTTATAATAATAACATACCATCAATTTGTCTAGCTAAACAGCTTTTGTAAACAAGTTTTTTACACTGATAGGTAAATCCTTACTTCAAAAAGCAACCATGGAGATCATTAAGGCCAACCTATTCACTTGCCTGAATAAATTTTTAAAAAACAGGAACATGGAAAATATTATGCTCTGTGCTCCTGGTAACTAAATCCTAAGCCAGGTTTAGGCATTGCTCCTTGTACTCCAAATTTGTGATTTTTCACTGCAAGTGACACCAACATTATTAAGAAATTTGTGATTTTTTTGTTTTGGTTACTATGGAAACATTCATTTGATGACTCAGCAAAACCATAATTCTCCCATCCTATTTTAGAGATGGATAAATTAAGATATATAGAAAAGAAGCTAACAATAAAATCAACATATAATAATAAAATAGAAATAAAAATGCATGAATATTGACTTTATTTGCTAGAGCACTTTTCATGGGCAAAATGATTTTAATTACAGATGAGCAATTTCAAAAGAATGGAAACACTTAAATGATGCATTTATTTTTCTACACCTGCTAACAGGTGCTGAAATCTGTTTGGATTCTCTGAATACAGATTTCTGTGGCCAAAGTCTCATTATCATAAAACCCAAGATCAAAAAGACTGAAATATTGAGGCTGATTTAGTTTTCAAATGCAAAGCAGCAGCTGGATTAAAGCACAAGGCTACTGGAGAAACCCTGAGAGAAACAACTGACATCTCTCGTCACGGGATGTGCGCTCACACAATGTGCAGACTGATTGGACACACCAAACTGGCAACGTTCATCATGTTCTTATTCTAATAAGTTCCATCTCAGGAAACTGACATGTGGCAAGCTGCAGCAGGTTATTCTTTCGCTCCACAAAGAAAAAAGAAGGTAATTGATACTTGGATGTCACAGGTAGAAAAAAATTGCTTTTGCTAAGATTATACTTACTTTTTAAAATAACTCCATTTATAAAAGTTTTTAGTCCAAGGAAAGTTTTTCTACAACATTATATATATATATATGAAGGTATATGAATATATGTATGTAAATATGAGTATGTACATTCACTCATAGAAAAGAAGAAAAATAAGGAAGGAATGAAAGAAGAAAGAAAAAAAGGAAGGAAAGGAAGAAGGAAGGAAGCAAGGAACGAAGGAAGGAAACTCTTACAAAGCAAGTCATTGATATATTACCCTAATAATATCATAAATGTTATTTTTCATTTAATATGTATTTTTCTTTACAGGAGAGTGTGAATTCACAAGAAAAACTGATTTAGATATCCATAAACATTTATAAGTTTAGGGCAGGAACCAAAGAGAACTCTGAGCTAATTCTGAAAATGTAAAATACCAAAGCAATTCAAAAAAAGAATGCTTTAAAAAATGAGACGAGATTGATATACTCTTACCTTTGATAAAAGTCCACTAGAAGAAAAACTATTGAAAGAGAATTACATTGTGTGGCAGAAGAGTTATCAATTGCATTTACTGTTATAATACTATATAGTGTTAGTTAATATTCATCATTGAATTTATTTCTAAGAGACTTCTTTTCTCTTAAAGCAGGATTAGTTTTATCAAGCTATGGAATGTCCTAGGGAACAAATTATACATTTTGTTATTGAAGAGAGAGAGAGAGAGAGAGAGAGAGAGAGAGAGAGAGAGAGAGAGTAGGAGAAGGAGAAAGGAGAAATAAGAAAGAAGAGGAGGAAGGGGGGAGAGAAAATAAAACTGATCCACATAATAGCAGACTCCAGTGTTGTTGTTTTAGTTCCTTCCTCCCCCCTCCCTCTCTCCCACCTCTGTTCCTTCTCCCCTCCCCACCCCTCACTCTTATCCACTTCCCTCTCCTTCTCCTCCTTCCTCTCCTTCCTCTTTCTCCTCTCTTCCTTCCTCTTCCTCCTCTCCTCCTCCCTCTTCTTCTTCCTCCTCTTCTCCTCCCCCTTCTCCTCCTCCTCCCCCTCCCTCTCCTCCCCCCTCCTCCTCCCCCCTCTCCTCCTCCACCTCCTCCTCCTCCTCCTCCACCTCCTCCACCTCCTCCTCCTCCTCCTCCACCTCCTCCTCCTCCTCCTCCTCCTCCTCCTCCTCCTCCTCCTTCTCCTTCTTCTTCTTCTTCTTCTCTTTCTCTTCTTCTTCTTCCTCTTCTTCTTCTTCCTCTCCTCTTTCTCCTCCTCCTTCTCCTTCTTCATCTTCCTCTTTCTTTTAATTTAAAATAATATAACTAAAGCATGGTTGTGTATAAGAAATAATATAAGTTTAGTGCATGAGAAATACTATGATAAAATTGTAGAGCAAGGAGGAAAGCTGTCCAAACAAAACAGGTAAAGTTGCTGAAATGTTTATGGGTACATATGAGAGTAGGATAAGTATCAATTATTTTTATTAGCATTGATTAATAATATGAGGACTATAACAAAAAAGATTCATTTGGGGGCTCTTCCTAAATTTTATAATGATAATTTTTTTATTAGCTATTGTTTTCATGCTCCTACTAATGCTTAGTAATTGCTTTGCATTATTTCTTAAATATATTTTTAAAACATTAAAAATACTATGTAGTCTTTATAAAAAAGTAGAAAATGCCTTAAAGTGCAGATCTTTTTAAAAGATTTATTTATTTATTTTTAGAGAGGGAAGGGAGGAAGAAAGAGAGAGAGAGAGAAACATCAATGTGCGGTTGCTGGGAGCCATGGCCTACAACCCAGGCTTGTGCACTGGCAGGGAATCGAACCTATGATGCTTTGGTTTGCAGCCTGTGCTCAATCCACTGAGCTACGCCAGCCAGGTAGGTGCAGATTTTTAAATAAAACTACTAATTGTTCTAACAACCCGCAGAGTGTCACTGTTAAAATGCATTGCATGTCTCCACAGCTATTATTTTATTTCCTCCCATAAGCAATGATTTCAAGTCCACACGCTAAATAACCTGTTTTTCTCTATTTCCTCATCTGTAATCTTTTTTAAAAATTACCTTCACCATAAACTTATAAAGATAAAATATAAAAGCCTTTATAGCAGTAACTGTTCATGAATAGCAAGCTGTGATCAAACACTAAACACTAAGTAGTTTTTTAAAAGATCACTATCATATCCCAGTCATTTTTCTAAGCCAGGGCTATCCAGTAGAAATA